TTCAAATTTTGGTGAAAGTTTGGCTTTTATGCATGTTGTGAGGATACAGTTATTGATGGTTTTGTGTGGCTAGAAAGTGCTAGAATTATGAGATTGAAGTGAGAAAGAATGAGCTGGTTTAAACCAATCAGTGACTTTCTGCTGCTTTGCCTCAAAGATCAGTGCATGTGTGATTTGTAATTCACCACTTTTTTTCTTCCCATTCAGCCACTAAACATGGGCTAAGGGTGTGAGTTTTTTTAGCAACTCTGTAGAAGTAAATTAACAATAATATCTATTAACATTTATTTTTCTGCTTCAGAATTTTTTGCCTCTTGGGGCTTAGGCTTAATCCATTAATTTTCCCATCAGAAAGGTGAGGCCTTCTGTGCTAACTGTGCTCCAATGTGAATAGTATTAATGAGACAAAGGTGTTCTTTTAACCACTCTTACTGAAATGGAGCAGGCTGTTCCAGATGTAGCCTGGTCTGTGCTGCTGTTCATTGATTGGCAGCTCTGTAAATCAGTGGCTTCAACTCAACAGCCTTTGAATGCTCCAGCTGCATTTTATCACCTGAAAGGATGAGCTGGAACAGAGGAGGTTGAGAGAGGCAGACTTTCTTGTTTTGATCTTGCAGTTTGCACTTCTCTAGTCATAAACAAAATCAATGTAAAACATGGTGTTCTGAACTTCCATGTGCATGGGCTTTATTTTCAGCTTATAAAATCTCTGAAGCTTAAAATACAGAAACTAAATGAATCCCTACTAGAAGCTAATGAAGGCTATAGAAAAATGGCAGAAGAAAACAGTCAACTGAAGCACACAATCATGCTCAAGGTTAGTCAACGATTTAAAAACATCTTTAACATGGCTTGTAACTATAGTTGTACTGGCTACTTCTGCATATTTTTACATGTAAAACCACTGTTAAATTAGCAATTTGTTTTCATGTTAGCATTTTTTCTGTGCCGAACTTCCTGAATTATGAGCTCAGAGCCCTTGTGTTTCACTACTTTACTCTGGATCTTGTAAGACAAAACTCATTTTTCAACTTAAGTGATAGACTCTGTCAATGGGGTAACTCTGCTGACAAAGCCTGATAATCTAAAGATGTTATGAATTCTTGTCAAGCAAAGAAAATACTGCTTAGAACTCATCATGAGGCATGTTGCTGAGACAAGCAAGGTGTCAGTGCACAAATGCCACTGCAACAAGGCCTAAGGATCTATGGCTTTAAAGCTATACTGATGGTCCTGCCAGAAGTGGCCAAACTGGATGAGAGATATGGGCAGATAAACTATTTAATACAGAAATAGACATCTTTCCTTCAAAAGCAGAGACTTCCTAAAGTTTACTGCATCTGATCTCAGATATCAACTAGATTACTCAACAAAAAAATGAAACTTTTCAACTCTTGGCACTTGGAATCTATGCCTTACTTGTAGTCTGCAGGTATAATAACTGCTTAGTGATGTCTTTCTTTCAATATTAGATTACTTTCTGCATACTTTTTAGTTTAAATCTGAGACTGAAAATTATTTGACTTGAACTTTTTAACTGGAAATGACCTTCCTATCCCTTATTAATAGGAAGGTGATTTTGCTAACCAGAGATTAAAGGGTGTATTTATCACTCTGTATTCTACCCACTCAAAGCATTTAGTCAGTCCTGGTTAGCAGTCTTATGCTGTGAGAGTCTTGATTTGCCCAGTTTTGCTTTCAGAAATTGCAAGGCAGGAAAGCCACCTTTATCTGGTTCCTAGAACAGCATCAATTCTTTTCCTAGTGTGGCAAAGCATTTTAGCATCAGCCTCTTAGTCAGAGTTGGTCTCTAACTGGATTGTATGGCCCTGCAGTTTGCTGGGTTTTTAATTACTTTGATGTAATTAGAGGAAATGGGTAGTGAATGGCCATATGACACTGCAATAACAAGGGTGTTTATGGGTTTAATAACATAATGTGAGCCAGAAAATTAACTGCATGAAAGAGAGAGACCATGGAGTGTTCACATACTTAACAGAGCCTTGTCCTCATAGGACCAAGAAATGGAAAGTCTTCAGAACTGGGCTAAGCGTGTTCTTGAGCTTGAAGAAACAGTGTCTTCCCTGCAAAAGGAGCTTGAAGAACGGAAAAAGAATTTCTTTGCAGAGGAGTCGAAACAGCAGAAACCCAGGAGAGGTTTGCTGGCTAACCTGAAATCCACAGTAGCATCCACTGCTAGTTCACCTCCTGGTAAAGGCTGGGGGAAGTATGAAGAGGCTTTACCCTATTCAAGAAAATAAGTAATGTTGCCTCATAAAGCAAAACAATAATATTTGATAAATCAAAGTGTGCAATTACTAGGCTTCTTTATTAGTCTTAAACTGTTGGTAGCTCTTTCTCACTCTTAGATGCCATCTTCACTGTCACATTGACAGAGAAAAATGTTTAATACAGAACTTTAATTGAATCAGGGTTGAACTTAGAGCTATAAAAGTTTGAGTCTAGACATGTGCTTTTACTGTTGATATAGGGATGTGATTTGAGAAATAGATATATTTTAATTCTGGAGTATCATGGTCTTCTGTACTGATAAATGTGGGTAAGAATCCATGTCTTTAGTGCAATGCAACAAATATGTGGTTTATGCAAAGTGGGATGTCCCTCATCTGCTATTCACTATGTTTTTAAGTTATTTTATATATTGTTGATTCCTAGAAATCAGATGGCTTGTAAACTTAATCCTAAGTAGTTAAAATAGCATGGTTTTTCAGTTAATATTTTGGTTTTGACCTGGAGACTCCCTTCTTGGGACTTGCTTCTAAGCAAACTCCTAAAGAAGGTGATGAAATGAAATCTGATCTGGCTCCTTGCTATTTTTATTCAGCTAACTTGGCTTTGTAAATAAATTTGTTTAAATAAAATTTGAGCTTCCACTAGGAATATGTATTAAACTTTGAAACATGTATTTAATAAAATTTTCCATTACTAAATTCAGCTCTGACTCATAATTTTATAAGTCAGCAAAACCAAGATGAGAAAAGTTCATGAAATTAGAGCCCAAATAATGACAGTGATTGATAGAGGATGATCTTGAGTTGAAAGAATCATATCCTTGATTATATTACTTAGCTTTTTATCTAGTAGCTTAAGGATGGAAGACTGGAGCATGATAAAATTTGAAGTAGCTTTCCTAAAGCCCTTTCCAGTCAGTGAAGGTGAGGGGATTTTTAACTACTGTGGAAGTACAATGCCTGTAATTGGTGGAGGCTTGCTGTGGAATCTGTAAGAAAACTGGATTGATCAGTCCCTGTAAGGGAGCTTCTCTCAGTGGAGGGGCCTGAGTTCAAAGCAAGAACCTCTCCCTCCCTGGGGGGACAGTAGACCTCCCTGGTGCAGCCTCCCCGTGTGACAGAGGACAGCCCTGCTCTGCTGTGACTCCCCTTGCCAGGTTGCTGGGAGTTTTGGGCTGGTCTGTGATCAGTAATCACTCTGACATCTATTTAACAAGGCTGTAGAGGTTGTACTTCAGCCATTGCTGTCCTCATGCTTTCAACTGTTTCTGTTAAATACAGGGTTATCTGGTTTTAGTAGTTCTGAAGGCCTATAATCCCTGCAAGGTAGGATTTCTAAAATATTTGTCTACTCCCACATAAACTGTTCCAGCTATTAAAATATATTTTGGTGTAGTTATGGGACACTGAATGCTGATCTCTTGAATAAGAAAGCTGTTATGTACAAATTGCTTTCGGAAAAGCAATTAAAGCAGAAGTTTAAAATATCAGAACAGGCTAATAATGGAAAATTTCCACAATACCATTTCAAACTACCTCGTGCTACACCTTGGCAGCCTGTCCAGCAAGTTTATGTAACACTAACTATAACCTCCTACTCTCTGAACAACTGTTCTTTCTATGCTCCCTCTCACTTCCCAGAGCTCTTTGGTTGGCTACAGGAAATGGTTTGAAAGACAAAGTTACATTATCTTGATCTTTTCTTTTTGTTTTTTTTCAGTGTTAAAATGAAGCCTCTAGCGAACTACTGGCCAGTGCTGAACTGTTAATGTTTTCCCAAAAGTTGCTAAAGCACAGTGTAGCTATTCCATTAAAGGTTTTTGAGAAGCTGTTTTCAAGAATAGCTGAAGGGTTGGTTCTTCTCTTCATGCCCTCCAGGATAATAAGAAACCACAAGAAGGATGCAAAAATGGTGGGTTTGGTGCTTTTCAGTTTCTCAAAGGTGTAAGGAAAGCAGAGTCCATTAATCTTGGCAGTGGTGATAATCAGAGATTCCCCTGTTCCACATGAAGCTACCCCTGGACAGAACATTAGCTGTTTGTTTTATCTCAAATCACTGCCATGCTACTAGCTTCAGATTAAGTGTTTATTAAAATTAAAAATCACCATACAATAGAAACTATTTACATATTTAACTGACAGTCTGTTTAAACTGCACAGTTAGACTGAAGGAAGCCCCTGGAAAAGAAAAGCCATGAATACTTCTGCTGCTGAGCTTCAACTGCAGGCACACTGAAGCTTTCTCAGAAAAGTTTTAAGCTTCTGCAAAGTACCATTTGCCTAAATAACTGGGCTGAAGGATGGCAAAGATCTGTACTGGGTTTCAGCTCTAAGAACCAGTGTCACTTTGAAAAAGAAGTAATCTATGCTGTGCTGTGGTTACACTGCAAGTGCACTAGCTCATCTGTTTGGGTAAGTAATTTGATAGAACAATTCCATGTAAAGAGCACAGCAACTTGCCTTCACTTTAAGAATTAGATTTGTAATACTAAGCAACAAGTGACAGTGTCACTGCAATATAAATTGATATCTCATTGCATGTTTCCACAAATTGTTTTTGATAGTGCTAGAGCTAGTTTTAGCTTTCAAACAGATTTGAGGTTAGTTGATTAAAGCAGCAAAAATATAAGGAATATTCTTGAATAACCACAGAGGATTAAAAATGAAGATTAAAATATTTTCACTGGTAACATTTTCAGCAACTGCAATGAAGGTATGAACTTCCTTCAAAATCCTGGGCTTTTCCATGGACTTCAGATGCTGGCTTTGGCTTTGTGGGAAGCTGAAGCTTGAACACAGAGTGAGGTGTGCTGCCATGTCTGCAGTCATGTGTGTTCATCTGGCACTTCTGCATCTGATGCTTTTGTAATGCTTTGAAAATGATTTTAAATTTAGGGTTTTACAGCAGAAAATCAGAACTTTTTCAGTGTAAAGAATGACATACCTAAGTCTTCCTCAAAGGAAACCTTGACACTGTTTAGAAAGCCTTACAAGAGGTGAGTGTACGCCTGATACTAATGTGAAATAACAAGGATATAAAAATAATTTTTGCAATATGCTGTATTTCAAAAGAGATGATTTAAGAACATCACCATGCCTTAAATCTGTAAGTTCTCCTTTGTGACTTTTTGTTTTGAAAACAGCTGTTCATGCATCTTCTCAACCTTTTTATCAAGGTCTCCTTGTAACATATTGCATGATTTAGATCCTAAGAAGGTCTTGTCAAACTGTACCAGGGCATGACTGCTCTCCTTCCTTCTCTTTCCTGACCCCAAAAAGCCTGTTTGCTTTGGGGTGTTTCTACAGATGCAAAACACAGAGCCATTAAGGAGAACTTGAAGCTTTAGAGGAACCGTTTTAACTAAATAAAAACATTATTTCTTTGCAGAATTATTCTCCAGCATTTCAGCTTCCACACTCAGTTAAGACACCTGAATGCATGAAGTAACTGGTTTGAGCAGTCTGTTGTAAAGAGTCTGTGCCAATGATCTATGGCAATAGAAAAAGTGTTCTTTGTTCTATGGCTGTTGTTGATACTGCCCTTCTGTTGCTGTGTAGAAGTCATCAAGCACACTCTGTAGGTAATCAAAGGTTGGCCTCTCTTCTGCTTTATCTTTCCAGCATGTTTTCATGATATCATAAAGCTCAGCTGGGCAGGTTTCCATGCGTGGCATCCGGTACCCACGCTGAAGAGCAGCCATCACATCAGAATTGCTCATACCTACAACAGAAAACAAAGAAGAAAGAGTTGATGAAATTATCTCTATTCCTAGAAAAGTTATTTTTTTTCTTTTTTTATACTTCACTCTAAAGATCTTCACCCACTAGTTTAACATCTTTGCTACTTATTAAAGATAGCTCCTAGCATGAGTTCAATAAACAAAGTCAAGGTGTGCACCAGCAATGAGGGACTTGCTCTGAAAATCCTGGTGGGAATGTTTCCATTACTGCAGCTGAGCACCACAACCTCTTTAGTGTCAAGTCTAACAAAACTGTGAGAAAAATCACAGTTCTTGTCTCCAGAACCACCTCTCTGTTCTTCTGACCAATCCTGCCCTCATTTACTCTGATTCCTGTGGTGGTGTGATTCCCAGCAAAAGCCTGCCCTGGCACCAGCCTTCATCTCTAGCTGCAGAGCTGCTGCTCTGCTTGCTGGAGCCCCATCCATCCTGAGATGGAGAGCAGCCCCCCTGTTTGACCACACTGCAGTCAGCCTGCCCAAAACTTTCAGGATTTCTTCTACATCAGCTTTGGTGTAAATGTTGCTGATTGCAAGATACTGCACAATCACTCATGAAATCATTAATTGTAATAGGTAACTTCCCCTCTTGTCCTACTCCTGTCATGCAAAACCTTCTTGCCAGCTATGCTGAGCTTTTCTTTTTTTCCCTGCTATAGTCTTCTTCCAGAAGATGAGAACTGTAAGTACCAGCAGTGCACCCTGCATCTCACATGCCAGCTAATGTCACATGAGAGTCCTGCCCTAGACTCCATCCTTCTCCCCCTTTTTTAAATTTCCTGTCACCCCTCCTCCCCCTTTATCAAACCCTTGAGAAACTGGTTCTCAGAACAATTTCAACACCTACTTTCAGGAGGTCAGCTACACTAGGGCCAGCTTTTGCTATTTTAGGCTCACCACTTCCTACCCAGAAACCTGCCTTTGGGTTTCTCCCTTCCTCTGCAAATCTGATCTAACCATCCCAGTGGCTGCATTGCCTTCTCTGGCACAGACTCTCTTCTGTACTCAGTGATGCTGTTTGTTCTGATGGCTGGGCATGCAGGGAGCACCTGTGCTTCAGCCTAGGGATTCATGCTCACCAGAGAAGGCTTTCCCTTTTGGGAAGGGTATCCCAGCCCTCTCAGCCACTCCTCAGGCTAGATGCTCCATGTGGTGCAGTTCTGCCCAAGACTACAGCTCCTCCAGGTTTGTTTTCTCAGGCCATTCAGCCTGTGGTCAGCTCCATGCAGGACAGTCTCCTGCACACCCCAGCTCCCCAGAGGTGCAGGGAGAGCAGCTCTGCTTGGCTGACAGGAGGGAGGAGGGGTCCTGCTCTGAGCAGGGTCAAGAGTGGAGATGCAAGATGTGGTGCTCCCCTGAACCCTTGGTGCAGCTCTGCTGCTGCAGATCCTGCAGACCTTTACATGTATTATCTGTTTACATGTATTATCTGACTGCTGTGGCTGTGGGTTGAGCCACTTGGCAGGTAAGGACACACTTGAACTGCAACCAAATGACAACTTTATCCAGTCTACTTGGATTATTCAAGATGACCAGAGCTCATATAGTTGACTTCAGCTCAAGCTTCTTGGCTTTGAGCTTTTCCAAAAATACCCACAGCCAAGTAATCTGAGTCTGGATCAAAGTGCTTACTTTGGGCAGATCTTTTGTATTTTCAGTTCCTCTTTGGAAGGAGAAGGGAAGCTTTCCTGAACTAACACTGCCCATATGCAGAAAAGAAGTATTTCAAAGTAGGGGAAGGGCATGTTGTCACAGAATAAAGAATTACTGCTATATAGAGACAAATTAAATACAGGAAGAAATTCAATAAAGTATTTTATAGAGAACAGTGACTGGACTACCTGAACTTCAAGAAACGGGATTGTATATAATATATGCAGTAAAAATGTTATTCCTACCCTACAAAATCTTAGTTAACTGTGCTGCTGTATGAAGACTGCTGCTACTGGGCTTTTGTGCAGAATGGGGATGATTTTTGGGGTTTAAGTACTTCATAGGATTGTGCTTAGATCTGCTGTATGCAGGACTGATTGTTACCTTGTGAATGCTAAGGACAAGCCTGTGTTTTAGCTACCCTGCAGGAAAAAGATCTGTTTAATATCCATTTGAGTTCAGAAGCAAAAAATGCAAACATTTTATAGCAAATATGTCATGTACATACTTCCATGTGTTTGGGGCTTTATTTAACACAAAAAGGGCTATCCACAGTCCAAACAGTATTCTCAAATAGCTATTTGTTTAACTTTAGCTTTTTTAAATTGTTTCAATTTTTTTTTCTTTTAGTAGCTAAAGAATCACCTGTCTTACCATATCTACATCCTAATCAGTGACAGAAGTATATCCCACATACATATTTATCACACTTACACCCTCTTGAATGCTAAAGTTTTGGTACATGTCTGTTAATTTATGCTGTGGTACCTGTTAGGTTTCACAAAGACACATTTCTTTATGTTAGGGCCTGGGAAATGATGTGAACAGTGTGGTTTGGAGGAGGAATCCCACTGTACAGAAAGGGTCATACCTTGTGAAGAGTCCCAGGCATAACTGGAATGCAATTATGGATGCTGCCAGTATTGACATACTATGCAATCACCCAGAAATCAGCTTTTAACTACCAATTCAACTTTTGTGCCCAGAGAATCAGATCCTTGTTTTAGATTTCAGAGGTAGTTCCTGAAACTCTAGTTCCACTAATGGCTTTGAGTTTCTCAGGAGGAGAAACAGATGTTGGAATTTAAGAACAAAGATCACAAAAGCTCCAAATTTCTTTCCTAGAAATGCTTCCTACCAAGTTGAGTACAGGTGTTAGCTACTTGCCAATTTCAACTCCAACTGTTTCATATGCAGCTCTATGCTGAACACTCTGGTTGCTACAGCTGGTTAATAATTGAAAATAATATTTTGAAGCATTCCCACTAGAAGTGAAAAATCAATTTACTGTTTCTGTCCAGTTGTTACTGGTCACAATCCATCACCAGGTTACTATTGCCATGCTGGGGTAATTTTGCCCAAATCTGTCACATCTCTGTGTGTACAGTAGATTGGTCACCCACATATTTTGCTGTGATTCTGGTGCTCAGAATCAACTTTCAGTCCAACAGGCTATTTCAATTTATACTTCTATTTAAAATAGATGTATATCTCTCATCCATTTTAATGCAAGCAATGCTTGCAAGTATTAAAACAAAATACTTGCAACATTAAAATCTTCTAATATGCAGTCAAGAGCCTTCCATATGTAACTGCTGCTTGATAAATGAATCCACAGCGCAGGGAGTATTTATGGTGCTCATAAAAATGCTCCCACATTTAAAAAAATATTGCCCAGACTTCCCCTAGAAGAGAGATTTTCCCACAGCAGTGCAGCAGTACCGTGTCTGCTGTACAGATTGACTTTATTCTTAGAATAGAACCATGATTTGGCTTATGACAGTAAAGAGAGAGCACATTTAGCTGCAGAATTAAGTATTGGATTGGGTTTTGTATTTTTGTAGAGCTGGTTTCCAGGTGACCTTGTAGGTTTGCTCAGAGAAGGACCATTTTCTAAGCAGAAATTCTTCAGAAATAATCTTGTGAGCCCAGCCCAGTGCAGGAGCTCTCTGTACACACAGGCAAGTGCTAACTGGGAAAAAAAGGCATCTTGACTGTGGGAAAAGCCATGCCTTACTTGGCTGCACACATCTCCCTTCTGATCCTTCCCATCTCCCTTCCTTGATTCTTCATCCATCCTCCTTAAACAGTGCTTCCCTAGCAGTGTTTAAGGAGAGCTTTGGAAGGACCTGCTGCGCTGTCCTGTATTTCACAGCCCTCACTACAAAGTGACCCAGAGCACCTAGCTCTGCAAGCAGCCCTATCACCTCTCAAAGTTTAAAGGGGCTAGTCTTGAGCTTCAGTGTTCTCCTGGCCTAGAACTGTGCCATGAGAATGTCTGGTTTGGCTCTAGCTCTGTATGGAAAGTCACTGTGTTCTCCCATAGCTGTGTAAAGTTGGCTATCCATCACTCCCTTCCCACTGCCTGAGTCTTGTGGGATTTCCCATCTCCCTGTGTCCAGAGGTGTTCAGCCTACTGTCACTTCAGGGATTTGGGTCTGCCTCTTGACCATCTATGGAAGTTCAAGACGCAGAATTCCAGCTGCTCATGAAGTGGTGAAAATGTTTTCACTGTTTAAACAGCAAGAGCTGCTGCACTGGAAGCACCGGGAGAGTTTTGCTTGGATGAAATATCTGGTGTCCCTTTCCTGCCAGGATCCCAAGATTCCTCTCTGAAGTTACTCTGCCCATGAGATGGGCAGTGCAGGTGAACATGGTTGTACTTTCCCCATTTGCCCACCAGAGAAGGGAATTTAGGGCAATTTCCCATAACCTCAGTAAGCTTAAATGAATGCAGTCCGTTGCCCAGAATTAATCATCTTTGCCTGACATGTAACAATTTTATGTGCATAAAGACCCCTTCATACAAGGTGTCTTTGTGTGCTCGAAACATGAATATATAATTTTACATTATATATATTTAACATTTATATGTATTTTGTTTAACAATGAGAAATGAAACATGAAGCACACGACCATCTCACAGCCACCCAAAGCAGCTCCATTTGATGTGCACACCTCTGTGGCCTTGTACCTGACTTTAAGGAACAATAAACATTAAATATTCCTAGTGGTACATCAACACTGCTTTAGGGTCTGCTTTCATATTTGTTTAGACTAGGCTAGCACTGACAAATTACTACAGCCTATTTGCTTGTGAAAACACACTTTCTTAGTATTTTCACATGTTATGTTATTAAAGACCCCACATATTTTATGTTATTAAAGCTTACAGAGCACTGTTAGGACTTGCAGCACTGCATCCTTGCCATGGGACTGTGCTTCTGTCCACAAAACAGGGATGTCAGAAACACAGAATCTGCATTTGCTGCAGTTGTAACACCTTTAGAACATATAAAAATTACTGTATACCCATGGTCCCATTACTCTGTTTGCTAAAATTCACCCTGGAGAGGCATGTACCTTACACATACAGTAAGTTTTCAAAGCAGTATGATTACCTGTAAGACATTTTTCCAATCATCAGTGTCACTACTGCCAGCTCTCTCCCTGAGTATTTTCTTTGCCTTTTAGCACAAAAGTATAAATACAGACTAAAACTACAGCTCCATACCTGGATAAGGAATCTTTCCATATGTAACAATTTCATACAGGAGAATCCCAAATGACCACACATCAGATTTAATAGTGAAAGATCCATAGTTAATTGCCTCTGGTGCTGTCCATTTAATAGGGAATTTTGCACCTAAAAAAAAAAGCAGTCTCAAATAGTCACTTTAATTCATTTCACATTCAGCCATAGATGCAAAAGCAGTAGCAAGACATAACTTAAAAAGTCATATCTTAAATTACTGTCTTTCATATCTAACTAACAGATTCCAGAAATTGCCATATAAAAGCAAACTCTTGACAGTCAAATAAAAACATTCAGGCAGCCTTTGTTGGGAATACTATATTAATTCATTTGACAACAGGGAGTAATACAAGCAGAGTCTCTCTAAGCCCTTTTTATCCTGCTCTAACATCATACCAGGTGAGCTAGGAAACTTTTCTGATAGCAGAAAACACATCAAAGAAACTTGACATAAAAATTTATAACCTGAGAAGTTAATTTAATCAATATACAAAGTCCAGAGCTAGCTAAACCCACAGATATGGGTCTGTACCTCTGAAAACTGCTTAACCAGACTCTTCCTGCTGATCTATTGAATTACTATGACCAGTGCCTCCTGAAGAGCTCATCTTCCTTAATCTCAGCTGCAGTGTGTTGCTCTCTTTCTTCATATTTTAGTTCTTCCCCTCTTGCCTACGTTACCAGAGTATCCATCCAGACTGTGAAAACCTGAGGCTGTGTCTTTAAAAGCAGAAGGGCAAAGCCAGCCAACAAACCACTCTGAAAAGCTACGCTCAAGCATGGAAGCAAAAATAAAAACTTTTCACTACAACCAACAGTGCATTTCCTGAAAGGATCCTTGACAACATTAGCAAAACACTCATGGCCAAACCCAGACATACACCTTTCACAGCAGGCTTTTCCTCTGGCCAGCCCTGACCCTGTTATCTCCGATCCCTGTGCTGAACAGGGACATGACCCAGCCTTCCAGGGTCCCTGCAATGCTGCTGAACATGCAAATTAATGGTGCAGCTCCTCAAACAGCTTCCAAAGTTCTGCTAAAGCTTTTCTTGTTACCAGCAACTACACCTGCTAGGGTTTCCTCCTTTGAAAGGAGGTCCACAAGGCATTTAAGGATTTTAAGAGAATTTAAGATCACAGTTTCTTGGCCTTTAATTCTGTGAGATGGAAGCTGAGACTATGCAATTATTTCGTTCAATTTAGGAAAAAATGGTGTGCAGTTAAATACTGTAGATTGTCTTTGTCTTTCAAATTTATTTAAAATAAACTCATCAAAAATCTTGGGCAGCACAGAAAGGTTATTTGTTTCCTTTACTCGTTTTAGAAGCTGGCATTAGAATGCAGCCCCTAGGAAGCTGTTACAGCACTTCCTATCCTTGGTGACCATATTTCTGTTAGATACAGCCTCACTGCCTCCCAGAGGCAGAAGCTTTAAAGACAAAAATAAAAATACATACCTTCCCTTGCTGTGTATTCATTGTCTTCGATCACTCTTGCTAATCCAAAATCAGCAATTTTGCACATCAATAGGTCTGAAACCAGAACATTTGCTGCTCTCAAATCTCGATGGATATAATTTTTTCTTTCTATGTATGCCATCCCTTCTGCAATCTGTAAGCAAAAGAACAACTATTTTGATATTTCAATACCACAGAGCTCCATTAACAGGTCTGATCCTTCTTTCTTCAAAGGTATCAGCAAAGCCACATCCATTTATTCATTATTGGTGTCTTTGGAGAATTTTTTAGATGGAAACCAGGAAAGGGGGGATTGCCATGGAAAACCTATGCACAAATCCAGCCCTGCAAAACTCTGCTTATGGTAGCAGCTCTGAAAGAATTATTTGGGTGAGTAACAGCTGGCAGGATTAGAGACGTATGGAAGACATTTCCTGAAACAGAATATGGAATAAAATGTTCCTATGGTTTCTATTAAAATATCTTCTTTCCTAGTTTATTTTCTGAATACTAAGAAAATAGAAGGAATTAATAGGATTAATAGAAGGACTTAGGATACAGGTGCTCTGATGAAGCAGGTACTGATAAAGCGACAGTGCAGAGAAAGTTAAAAAACCCCATCAATTTTCTAGCTACCCAGTATAAGCCTGGACAATTAGGATGCAATTACTAAGATAGGGGAAACACCTTCATTTTTTTCTGCAACACGTACCTGTTCATACATGAGGAATTTTTGGCAACAACCAGCTCTCAGATAGTATCATAAGTAAATATAATCTGCATTTCAGCAGCCCTAATTGATTTCCAAACCAAATTAATAATCTCAAAAATATGCAGAGGGGATGATATTTTCCAGACTACTTAAAAAAAAAAAAAAGAAAAGAAATTGAGATAATAGAGATAATAGTTTCTAAACTCAGAGTAATAAAACTGATGTGTAAACTGTATCCTGTTCAAAAGTTTAAGCAGAGTTAAGAAAAAACCAAAACCCTGTCTTTGGGAGCCATCAGTTTTTGTCTTTCTTGTGAGACTGGTGATGGGACATTCCCAGTCAAGGTTCCACCTGTGCCACAGGTGTCTGGGATGTCTGTGTTGGGGTGACAGACCCCTCTTGGCCACCTGATTTGGGAGCCCCCACGCCCTCAGATCTGCAGTGGAGCAGCAGTAGAGCAGGGAGGGTCCTTCAGCAGTGCCAGTCCCTGGCACCACAGCAGACCATGCAGGGATCCCTCCCCAGCAGCAGAGGTGCTCCTTCCAGCTGAGCAGTAAAGCAGGCACAGCAGCTGCCCCAACTTGAAGAGGACATGAACATCACTTCTGCTTCTTCGTTTTTCAGAAGTCCCCGAGGGGTGCTGCCAAGGCACTCGCTGCCACCCCTTACAACACAAACCTCACAGTCTTTGTTCCCCTTTTTTGGTTTAAGCAATGGAAAAATAGAGCCACTTGCCCTCCCACTTCCTCCACTGCAAACCTCTTGTTACAGTCAGATACATCCTTCAGAGAAGTGTGACATTGCCCTTGTACAGTGCAGGGGGGTTCTCACACCAAACCAAGAAGAAACTCTGATGAAGAGAATGAGCAACACCTGCATTTCACATTTTCTAGAAGCAAGTCAAACATTTACTAATGAAGGAAGCAGCTGCTGGTGAATAATTGCCACAGAGAATCCTACTAGGGGCTCACAGACACCACAGAAGAGCAGTATTTAATTTAGAGTCTGCTCTGCCTCTCTCTGCTCCCCATGCCATGGGTTTAGGGAGGAAGCAGAGATGAAGAGGAAGGTTTTGCTGTAAGATTGATGCTGAGTTTGGACTGGCCAGCATGGCAGATACACCCAAAGTGCAGACAGGTCTGGTAATGCCACCAAAAGACATCAAACTCCACAGAGGAATCAGCTTCCCTCCTTCCTCCCCGCACAAAGATAACATTGGGTGAACTGCTGGACAGGGAATGACAAATCACTTCACAAAAGAAACATTTGTGATCATGATATTTAGTTTCCAAGTCCAACAAAGAAAAGCCATTGGAAAAATGATTTTATTTCCTCTTATTTGTGCTAGATTAACTGAAAAATGCAGAAAGTTCCAAAGTAGGAAAAAATTAACAGCAAGGAATTTTGAATCAGCGAAGGAGGGGAAACACAGCAACCAAACAACTGAATTCACACATCTGGTCATGTTAAACCTTTGCTTATAGGAAAAGAAAGAAAAAAAAAATTGAGATTTTTTGATTGAGATGGGTACCAGAACCCACGTGATAACTCCTAATGATTATTGTTGGGTTTTCATTGCCAAATGAAATGTTAATGCTAGAGAAATTCACATGAACAAAAGAAAATTAAAGCCTTTTCCCCTCTCTTTTAATGATCATTGGTACCTGTCAAGACTGCTCAGCTACATGTAACATCTATTTGGGAGCAGAATGGGAAAGCTAATTTGGGCTTCAGGAATATCTTTTGTGGCCTTTAGAAGAGAACTCTGCCTACACTGCTCAAGTGTTAGTGCAAAGAAGAAGTAGTTCCCAGTCACCCTTAATGAAGTACTGACACACACTTTTAGAAGTACTCAAATTAAATCCTTTCAAAAAACCCCCAAACAAATCTCTACATATTAGGAACTGTGCACCCAGGGTAAGAATGAAAGAAAAGTCCTCCAGGAGACTGTGGAGGTGTTATTGATCTGGGCAGGGCTGTCTTTGGTCTGGGATCAACCTTTCAATAGCTGTACCTTTCAATAATGTCCAGATAATATAAATAAATATACTTCTTGATAATAATAAATGATAAAATAAAATGTAATAAAATAAAATATACTTCTTGATCACAGAGTTTTCAAAAAGACAGTTCATCTTCCTGTGACTCTTTGTCTGTGAAGAGGGTGTAGACACTTTGTAGCTGGCCATTGAAAACTGTTGCAAAAGACACATATCTTCAAATGATACATCAGTGTAATAATAATTTTCAGTTTGTAGTAGTGCTTATTCTAAAGGTGAAGTCAGGAGAGGCTGCAAAATCATATTCCTCTTGTCCCAGTCAAGCAGCTATGTAGTTAAAGCAGATTCACAGAGGAAAAAAATTATTATTAAAGTAATGTATATAATTATGCACTGGAACATTAGAGTGTATCATTAAAATTCAAAGAAGCATGAAAAGGAGTACACAGTGGAAATGTTACAATGCCAAATAAGACTTAAAATTAATTGTAATCTAGGGATGACTTTCTACTATGATTTTAAAAATGAGGGTAGAGAGGAATTAAAACACTGCATCAAAAATCTCTATTAATTTTATTCTAAGTTTACTATTACATTTCAATGGCACTGTAGTCTTGGAAGACAGAAAGAAGTTGCCAGTCAAGCTGTAGATCATAGAAGAATTAATGAAACTATCAGCACTGCATGAAAAAGTAGAAATGACTGTTTTTAGGACAAAGCTTTGACCCTTTAGAAAGTTATGAGTTTGTTTAGTAAAAACAGGCAGAGTTTTCCTAAGCACAGCCCTTACACATGTGCATCCTGCACTGAAGGTAATGGATTTGCATAAGAAGCAGGAAGAGTTTACACATACAAAAGGTTTGCTGAATTTGTGTCATACGTTTGCAGCAGATCTAATCAAGCAGGAACAACTATGAATTCAGGAAATGTGAAACAAAGAATCGGAGGCTCTTCTGGTAAATTGCCTCTGAGGCAAGACACAAACCAGCCAGTAAAACCTGGAGTCTTCCAGTTGCTTTAGGAACTGAAGGAGCCAGGCTGGTGCTGACTCCTACAGGAAATGCCACAGCTCCACTCTGTACTAAGGCACATAGAATGTGCTGGAAGATATGCTTGCAAAACTCAGTTTCCCTCAAAACATTTTAATTTCAGAGACCTCTAACATTCATCTCCAATGGATAAACTTGTCTTTGCCAGGGCATAGCTAACATTAAATTCCTCCAGCTTCTATTCATGTGCACCGATTAAAACATGAGAGCTACCTTCAGCTCTGTCAGAGAGCAGGCTGCTTTAGAAACCTTCTCAGCAGGCATTCTCTTGCCATCTTTTCCACAAACCTGATTTCATAAATCGTGACCATTAGTACAGAAAGTAAAGCACCAAAGTCCAGACCCCACAGCTGTAAGTTAGGGTAAGCACTGATCTAAGTGTGACCCAGCAACAGCTATCTCTCCAAAAATCCCCACCAGCAGGTGTGTTCACCTGTCCAGACAGCTAAGTCAGTATAGCAGAGCAGCAGTGTAATGTAATTTCTTGCTTGAAAAATGCTTACTTTCAAAAAGTTGTTTATTTCACCCAGAGGAGCAGTCCTCCTTTTGCAAAGTCAGAATGTTTCACCTCTTGCAAACACATATTTTTTTCAAGACTCTTCAAGGCAAAGGCATAATAGGCTCATAGAGTGGAGCACTAAATAACAGCCTGGCAATGCAAACAACAACCCACAGTGCTCTTGACTTGGAAAATCAGCTTCAGCTGGGGTTTCCTGTACAACTGCCTTCTTTACCCAGCTAATGGTCACAGGGACCACATCCTCCTCTTCCTTTCTCCCATTCCCAGTCCCTCCTGTGTTTGTAAAATCATAGATGGATGAGGGCAAAAAAAGCTAATGCTCAGCTATCATTTCTTACATTTTCAGTGTTCCTGAGAAGGTTGGATAAAGCAAAGTGCTTTGCCAGAATGGTATGATCAGAGAGTAATGAAGAGCTCAAGTGTGTGTCCACCAAGGAAAAAAAAAAAAAAAAGCCTGATCTTATCTAAGAAGAAGAATCCTCACCTCTTCACCACAAGCTTCCTTCTATTTTAATTTTAAACTCTCCTGAAACATACCTCTCCAAATTTCTTTCCCCTCTGCTCTGCAGAGAGGTTAACATCACTTCTGTAAGAATAAATTAGTGTTCCATTGGTACAAACCAGAGTCACGCCAAAAAAATCCACACCTCTTGTGTTCTCCTTTACACACAGCCTACATTCAGGAAAAGTGTGATCCACAAGTTACCTTAGCAGAGGTCTGAAAAGATTTTTGTCCCTCTTTTGCCCCAAAGATCTATTAATTAATTCAGACTGCCAGAGACAGAGAAGCCTGGTGGAACATCTCTGCTGGTCAGAGGGAAGTCTCTGGTCTGGAACCACACACATGCAGCCTGCAAGTCTATTCCTCACACTCCTGTTATCACACAGTGGCATTAAGGGCTCTTTACAAACATGCTCAAAAACCCTACAAATTCTTTCCGTAAGAAAAATCCCAGTATCTCTGCTCCAAAGTTTTGTTTGGACATCAGCCAGAAATCCTCAGAAAGGCATTCCTGAACATCCCTTTAGGATGACTGCAAGCCAGTCTCAGGAATTTCTCTTGATGGTCTACATCCTATATGACAAGAGGGACTTCTCACACCACCTGTGCAGCACAAGGTCCTGGCCTTGGGGCCCAGTGCAGGAGCTGGCTGAGAGGGGCTGCTGTCAGACCAGGGTGACAAGTGATGTCCATGTGAAGTGACCTTCAAAGCTCTGAGAATGGCAATCTCTGACCCTTGTTATCATGATTTACCCAAGCTGTACACAGAGTTGCTCCTTAGCTCATTACCCTATTCAAGCCTTAAATTTCTGAAAACACAGCATTAATTTAAAATGAACACAACGTCCCTAACTCCAATAAAAAGGTCTGCTGAGAAACCACATGTGCTTTTCTCTCCCCATCTCAGGTCTCCTTTCACATCAGCACTCACAGATATTCTTTTCTCTCTTGAATTCTACACATTATCTTCAAAGCTACCTCTTTTCTGCCCACTGTCACTCATCCCTTCAGACCATGAGCTGGGATCCAGCAGGTTTTCTGCATCTACAAAGCTTTTATCCCACTAAAAATAAATTCTCAAGGACAAATTTCCCAAAGAGTTCAGAAAACTTAAAGAGCCTGTAGCCACACTAAACCAATAACTATAGGAAAAATAGCTCTTCCATTGAGTCTATGTGAAATAAAAACCTATATTTGATATATTGAACATCTATATAACAATAGTAAATATACAATATAGTATAGAATACAATAGTTTCTGTTGGAAAGGACCTTCAGTGATCATCTAGTCCAACTGCTTTACCACTTCAGGCCACTTTAACCAGAAATCAAAGCATATATCAAGGACATTGACCAAATGACTTTTAAAATATGACAGGTTTGGGGCATTGATCACCTCTCTAGGAAGTCTGTTCCTAGGTTTGACAACTTTTTTGGTAATGAAATACTTCCTAATATCTAATCCTATAATTATTTGTATAGCAATAATTACATTAAAAATTCATATAATATTCTTATTTTGAATTTTTGGTGTAAATTCCTAATGCTTTATTACACCTATTATTTTTGTCCCATTTTTTCTCATGAGTTACAACAAGTTAACATAATAGGGTACAACAATCTGTAAATGCTAATGCATATTAAAAAAACCCAAAAAAAGGTTGGTTAACAATAACCTACCAGAAGTGTCATCATTACCTACTACTAGCATGAAGTACAACCTGCAAATGCAGAATTACTACTCTGTTTTTGTTACATGCCTTCCTGAAGACCCAATTCTGATAACTGTCCAAGACAAAACACCGGGCTCTGGGAGCTTTGATTGAGGCTTTGACACACAAATCACTCCAGAGTCTCTCTTCAGATTTCATTTAAGACATAGATAACTTGTATATTTTGAAACAATCATCCTGGTTCATAAATCATACACTAGTACCTGAAACACCATTTCACAATAATTTACCTAAGAATTTGAAACCAAGAAGGGTACACTGAGGTTAAGAGGAGTTTGACCAGTTAACCTAACTTAAGAAGTAAAAAAATGACACATTTATTAACTCTGAAAGGATCTGCTAAGCAAAAACTCACAACTTGTCCTTACACTTTCAATTTGTAGCTGCTCAAATTGAAAGCAGCCTTTTCACAAAGGAAGGCACCTGGGTACTGCTGCCATCTGAACAGGTCACCAGCGGTATTTAAGAGTTAAGCCTAACCACATATTCCCTTTGAAAATTCTTTCATCTGCTTCCTCCTTTCAATTAACTCAAAATTTGCCTGTAAATTGAATTTTTGTAATGTAAAAATCCTTAGGATAAAATGGCCTAGTATGAGTTTCAGACTCTAAGAGAAGTAACCTCAAAATATAATTTTGAGCACATTTTTTAAGTTTTACCTGAGCAGAGAAGTCTATCAGCTTTGGAAGCAACAGTTTACTTCCTTCATCACTTTTCAGAAAATCCAGCAAACTTCCTGTTAAAACAGAGAAAGATTAGATCAGTGCATCTTATTACAAAAAAAACCTGTCACATTGGTTCCTCAATTTTCTGGATAACAAAACTGATGCAGTGAAGTATTTTGACGTATTTTCAAGTTGACTACAGCAAGACAGACAGGAACCCCCAAATCAGCATGTCAGACATTCGAGTTTTGCTGTTTCCCTGGCTGTAGAAAACTCCCGTGAGATCACACCTCAGTTCAATGGGGCTGAGTTTGATAAGCATCCTACTCTGGACCATCAGGAAAGCTGTCCAGGAGAATCACATACAGCAATCCTTTCCAAGTCATACAGACTAAGTGCCTCAACACTTGTTCATTAAGTTACCAGCAAAATTGCTTGAAAACAGAACAAAACAAGAAAAACTACTACCCAAGATAATATGAGAAGGAAACTTTGCATATTTTGTGTAGTAATGCTGTGTAGAGTCCTTTCCTAGTAGCGCAGCCACCCTTGCAGGACCATTCCTCACTCACCTTTATCAATTCAAGTCCCACATAAGGCAATTCCTAAGGTTTGTTTTAATTGCCTTGCTATGATACCAGAAACAAAAGTTAGGTAGGGAGTCCAAAGGAACCAGAGCTATTCTGGAGGTTATCCTCTAGTTCAGAAACAATAGAAAATGCTGCATTTAAGAAAACCGTAAAAATATTTTATCTTACAAATGAAGTAATGAGTCATAAAATTAAAGCTTCAGACCATCTTAAGAATAGGTGCTCCTCCCTTTAATATTTGAACATTCAAAAATAACTCTATCATTCCTTTCTTTACAAAGAAAGGGAACTAGTTTAGGAGAAGCAGAAGAGCTCACTAAACTACTGCTTGCAGATTGTGGTGGTTTAACCCCAGCCATCAACCAGAACCCACCATGCAGCCACTCACCCACCTCCCACCAGTGGGACCAGGGAGGGAATCACAAGGGTAAAAGGTAGAGAACTCATGGGCTGAGGTAAAGACAGATTAATAGGAAGAGGAAAAGCAAAAGCTGTGCACACCAGCAAAGCAAAACAAGGAATTGATTCAGTGCTTCCCATGGGCAGGCAGGTGTTCAGCCATTTCCAGCAGAGTGGGACGCCATCACATGTAATGGTTACTCAGGAAAACAGACACTGTCCCTCCTTCCTCCTTCTTCCCCCACTTTCTTTACTGAACATGATGTCACATGGTCTGGAATATCCCTCTGGTCAGCTGGGGTCACCTGTCCTGGCTGTGTCTCCTCCCACCCTCCCAAGCATCCCCAGCCCCCTCACCAACATGGCAGCACAAAAAGCAGGAAAGGCCTTGGCTCTGTGCAAGCCCTGGTCAGTGATAACAAAAATATCTCTGTTATCAGCTCTGTGTTCAGCACAAATCCAAAACAGAGCCCCATTCACCCACTGGGAAGAAAATGAACTCTAGCTCAGCCCAAATCAGCATGCAGATGCAATGTTTTTCTCACCTTTTGCCATGAACTCTGTTATAATATAAATAGGCTCTTCTTTGGTCACCACAGCATAAAGCCTAACGAGCTTATCATGCTGAAGTGTTTTCATGAGGTTGGCTTCCTCCAGGAAGGCTTGCACAGACATTGTTCCAGGCTTCAGAGTCTTCACAGCCACTTTGGTACTGTTAAGATAGTAACCTACAAGGAGGGAACATGATCAGTGCACTGAAGTCACTCTGCAGCCCACAGTGTCCCGACCAGCAGGAATTTGTAAAGCAGGTGAGGTTGGATTCCAGGAATAGCTGAGAGCCTGAAAACAAGTGCCAGATGTAGCACAAATATTTATGCTAGAATTCCTTTTTATTTTGCAACTTACACAGCACTGCAGAGAAAAATGATCCATTCCCTATCTTTAGAAATCAGTTATCTGAAAAAAAAGAAAGCAAGCAAATGATCTTACTTCATCCCAAGCTTCCATTCACAAGTAGCCCCTGAAATACTTGGTCAAGGCACATTGCAATGAATGTCCACTTAAATTGCCTCAGAACAATAGAGTCCAAGGACTGGCTGGAATTTTCTGAAGTATCTTAAATCCCATGATTACACTTATTTCATGCATGCCAGTCTCATGCTTACAATCCTTCCTGTAACCCTTGGTGCTCAAAATGGAGCATTACGGGAAGGTGCAGCTGAAATGGTTCTCGTGACCAACACGGACACGCTGCCAGGACTGCAATCCTGCAGTGCTCAGCACGAGATTCAAACTGTGATAACTTCTTATCACACAGCCCATGCCAGGAGTGGAGGAGACTGTGGCTGTGGCTCATTTCTCTGTTTTGCAAACCTTCTAACATAACATTCTAATTCTATAAAAAGCAACTAGCAGTAAAGAGAAAAGCAGTGAATTATTTTCAGATTTAATGTTTGCCAAACAATAAATAAATGTCAAAGTAGCATTAAAAATATCGTGGCGAGCACTTATCCTAAAGTTTATCATTGCCCTAAAGTTCATCTTGTGAAGTCATATAATTTGAAAATTGAAGAAATAGAAGAGAGAGAAAGAGGGATATAAATGCAACTTTTATCCCTCCCCATACCCATTGCAACACTGTAGAAATATTTCTCAGAAGAGGTGAAACCTTCATGACTCAACAAAATAGCTCATTTCCGTATTCAGCAACAATCCAGATCATTGCCATGATGGATACACCTCCAAACTGGAATCCATCATTTCCTTATGCTATTTATTGTCCAACAAAAGAAATCAGTGGCAAAGCACGGACCTAGCTTCCAGATCTTAAGTGCTTGCTCTGAGCACTGCATCTTTTTGATGAAGGATCATCACCTGAGAAAAGCCACTATGCCACAATCACAAAATATTCACCTGCATGATTATTTAAATCTATTTTTCCAAACATGATCAGGTCAAACCACACCAAAGACATTTCTCTAAGTTACCTAATAGTAAGAAATTACAGTTACAGGTCAAATCCACTGTCAAAGCTCAGGTATATGATTTATAACTATCAGAAAAACAGAAAATAAATATATTTCCCTCTGTTTAAGAAGCAGAAAGACTATTTGTATCATTTCTACTACTCCATTCCATGCCCTAAAACAGAGCATGAGCTCCACTCTCAATTGGTTGAACTCTCTACTGAACATACTAATTAATACAACTATTTCAGTGAAGAAATTATAACTAACACACTTAACATTAACTATGTAACAGGATTTTACATTCACAAAAGATATCCATCAAACTCAGGTCTTTTGTTTTAAAAAAGATAGTTTGCTTTACTACACCATCTCTGTGATACTGAGGTTTTCTGCAGTAAAGAAGTCTACCTTGACCCTCTGTTGGTAATGTACAAAATAACTGGTGAGATTACTAGAAATACCTGATCTTGGATTTCTCTCTTGTGTATTTATTTCATCATGTATTGGGAGGGATGGGACACCAAAGCAAGATGGCCATGAGCTCTGTGAGCACACACTGGTATTTCTAACAACTGCAGAAGAAAATACACTTCCAAAGCACATATTACTTATATTCTAATTCAGAGCTTATTGAATAAGAGAATTCTTTGCACCTGAGATGCAAGCAAGATGTGACTCATTAATAAAATACACTATAATCACTGCATTTGCCTTGTTAACTTTCCTCTTAGCCCTGCTTGAGAATTCTCTTCATGGATTATTAATACCACAGAGCATCATGATTCACATCATATCAGTTCTCACTAGGAACAAAAATGCATAAAACATAGACCCTGCTCTTACAGTGCTGCTCTGCTTCACCACATCACTAAAGCAGCTGCCCAGATGCACTGAACTCCATGATCTAAAAACCTTTCATACCATGGCAGGAAGGCAGTCTCTTTGCAGTTTTAGCCACTGTTAAAAATCAAATGTGAAGCAAGCACTAGCATGAAAGTCTGAGGATCGTGTGATGATGTCTCACGCAACAAGCCATGTTCTTTTTTACATATTAGAATTTAAATCTCAAAAAAAATTAAGTGTTTCAGTATTTATTTTGTAGTTGATTACTATTATTTAGACAGAGTAGTGTCTTGCATAGCCAGGCTGTCCCCAGATTCTTGCATGGGTTTAATCAGGCCAAGGTGTGATATGAACTTATAATAGACAAGTGAGGTTGAGCCTACCATTTCTGAATAGGACTGAAGATGCAGAGCTTTGTGAACAAACCTCTAATATGCAGCTTTCTCCTTCCTCTGCTTTTCCAGTAATTCCCTAGGAACAACTTGTTGGAGCTATGGAGATATGACACTGCTAGAAGGCAGAATGGCTGGAGCAGCTATGTTGGAGGATTACTGGGAAAGAGTCTGGGAAGCAGCAGCTTCTCTGCCTCCAGCTGCACACCAGCACTTCACTCCTTCACCTCCTACAGCCATCATTAGGCTGCAGGACAGAATAATGCAGCAGCAGCTCCATCTCTCACTCATCTCCACACAGCCCATTAAATGTGAAGGCAGAAAGCCCAGGCTGCACTGATGACCAAAACGAGCACATAAACAATAACTTGGTAGGCTAAACCCAGAAAATCTCTATAAAATGCATAAAATTGCACTTGTATTGATAGAAAAAAATCCTGGAAAACTGATAGCGACTTTTCTCTGTGTAAAAGTAACTCTTTCAGAGCTGGAGGAGATTCACCTGCCCATTCCACAAAACAGATTTTCTGCACAGGTCATAAAGGAACATAGCCAAGTGCTGGGGGCATATGGAGGCCTGCTTTTTGTTCCTAGGATTTTCTTACTCTTTCCATAATATAAGTTAATTTCCTCCAAACTGTTCAAGAGGAAGATGTCCACAAGGAAGCGCAGAAAGTAGTTATAGAGATACTAAAAGGAAAAGACCATAAAAGCTATAATTACATATCTTCACACTGCAGTATCAGCATTATCTATATCTCTCAGAAACATATCTTTCCCATATCTCTCAGAAACACAGAGGGGACCTGTGGAAAGCATCTGTGTCCAACTCCCCAAAGGACACCTAGAGCTGGCTGTCCAGGAATTGTGCCCAGTTGGTTTTTGATTCTCCCCAAGAATGGAGACACCACAACCTCTCTGGGCAGCCTGTGCCAGTGCTTGGCCACTGACACAGTGAGTGTTTGGAAGGAATCTCTGTGTTTCAGTGTGTGCCCATTGCCCCGGCCCTGTCACTGGGCACACTGAGAAGAGCCTGGCCCCATCCACCTTGCATACCTCCTGCAGCTATTTGCACACTCTGATAACATCCCCTAAGCTTTCCCTCAACAGAGAGGTGCTCCAGTCCTCTCACCATCTTTGTGGCTCTTTGTGGGATTCTGTCCAGTAGCTCTGCATCTTTCTTTACTCAAAAGGACAATTCCTCTGAGTGGGACACTCTTCCCTCTGAAAGCACAATTCTAAGTATCCTTTATCAAGAAGAAATTTATTTAGTAATGGAACCATGGAACAACATTTCTAATTCACATGATGGCTGAAAAACAATTTTGTTCTCTGTGAGGAAGCAATGCAAGAACCAGCTCTCAAATCAGGAGAGCACAGCAACCAGATTATTGCTCAGTACTCCTACATAACTCCCTGGGTGATCATTACAATACACAGTGTTTGCTGACACCCTGCACCACACAGCTGAACTAATATGCTTTTCCATCTTGAACTTCTTTGGTTCTAAGATTAACCATGCTCCTGATTTGAGAGGATCTGTGCCATGCAAATCATCTTCTTTTGCTTCAGAAAGAAAGCAAAGAAGAGGAAATGCAGCCATTGCTTTCACAGTACATTAGTTTTTCTCACAGTGCAGCATTCAGACATAGGCCTCAGGCCCAGTTTAGATGTTAAAATAATGACAAAAACAAGAGGAAGCATCTTGAAGCAGAAACACCCTTTTAAAGTTTTATTATTTTCTGTGTCTATGTGCAGAAGTAGTCACTTCCCAAAATGATCTGCATTTTCAAGCAGGTGATTAGCTCCTACCACAGTGTTTCACTGTAAGTTAAACATTTGTTGCCCTGGTTTATTAGGCAGAAATAACTGAACAATGGTTGACACTTGTCCTGACTAGTATCTAAATTGTCATTCATGTATGTCATAGCTAGACAGTTTCTTAAGCCTCTTCTCATGAAGGCAGATAAAGGCTGAATTTGGCTATATTACATTAGAGATTGCACTTTTTACGTGATTCATACCAAAAGATTGCACCTGAGACTCAGTTAGAGCTTTTTGATTGACACTGCAGTTGAGTGTGTTTAATTTGCCACTCAAACTGCACCGGTCCATGCTTTGCTTTTCTAAACCAGAGCATCTCTTCAAAGCAATGACATTCCTGTCAGACTGACACACTCCCATGGATTATCTGAGACCACTTCGTAGCTTTGTGTCTTCCAGCCAGCTTTGGGATACACTTTAAAGTTGCTCAGAAATGCTCTGCCCATAGAACCTTAGGTCTTAAAATTAATAATGATCATTATCACCATAACCTGATATTTTATTATAACTATAACAAATTTATTCCTACATAAACATAATGTCCCATAAAACAGATGTGGGGAAAGGCTAAGAGAAAGACTTGGCCTGAAGAAACATCTTAATGAAGACTTTGGGAGGAAGATACAGTTTACCCCAAATAAGATTCTAACTGGCAAAAAGTGTGTATGCAATGAATAGTACACAGAAGGTGCAATGAGGAAGCAAAAGAATAATCTGATGTCATAAAAGGCAGCATTTCAAAAGCAGGATGATTAAACCATTTCCACAGAATGTGACACTGGACATAGCATCTTGCCAGTAGGAAGTCACTAAGGCTGAGGAAATAGTGCTTGTAAGCCAACAGAGCAGGTTATTCAGGTTATAATAATTAATGCTATCATTTTCTGCTGGGCATATATTAATGTTTACAACTTGGAAGTCTTCTGACAGCTTTATTATTGCCTGATGAGTCAAGGTATGGGCTGTTCAATCTCTAGTCTTGTTACTACATAAATCACCTACTTTCTGAGCAGCACCCTGGCAGACAACACTCTCGGGTTAAGTGTGTTCCCTTTCTTCCCCCAGTAGGGCAGTACCATGCACTACATTGCAGAAGGCATCTTCTTCACAAATGGATTATGATATCTCTATCCACAGTTCACTAAAATACACTGTTTCTTTCCATTTCATATTCTTTAACACTTTCTGATTTGAAACAAAGTTCTGAGAGGCTCATTGGTTTTGAGATTCAGGAGCCACATCTCACTATAATCTTGTATTTCTGCCTCAAACCATAACAAAAGACTCTATTGCCCTTGACCTTCTAAATTACAGTGCTTACTCACTATTCTTTTCCTTTAAAAGACACCAAAAGGATTTGTTCCATTTCCTTGTCAGGTTATCTATCCTCTTTTACAAGCCCTGTCTCCTCACAAGAAGGTACATTCTGGGCCTGATTTTGCTGTTTTACAAGTATACAGCATCAGGTTCATGTCCACTATGTTTTTTGAATGGCTCTGAAATGACACTTCCTTCAGAGTTAAATACTCACTTCAAAAGAATAAACTTACCCATCCAGACCTCTCCAAACTGACCAGCTCCAAGTTTCTTCACTAATTTAATTGATTCCCGTGGAATTTCCCATGCATCTTTATCCCATGGTTTTTGAGGTTTGGGACTAATACAAGCTTTTTCCAACTTTCTGCATAAGCCATCTGATTGCCCTGGTTTTCAAAGGAAAAACAAAATACAAAATACATTACACTCCTGTGCTGCATGACTTGAGACAAACATTGCTTAATTGCACCAGCCAGCCCACAATAATGTTCAAAATAACCAGATGCTCTGATGAAAAGAGCCCTTCTGGTGCTTTCACAGAAGTTTAAGTGCCTCTGATCTGAAATTTTGCATTCAGAGAAAAAATTAATAAAAAAGTATCACATGCATCTGGTTACTGTCAGATTATTAAGGGGTCTTAGTACAATTTGCACCAAGTAAATACAATATTAGATCTTATTCCTGACACTGTGTTGGTTAAGATGTACAATGAAGCCAGGTTTGGGATTCTCATTTTGTCATTAAATTTTCTTGCAACATAGATTCAGACAGATGTGCATGCAAGCATAAGTAGGTCAACATTATTTTTTCTCCAGACACTGACCAGCTATAACTTTTATATGAATGTTGAATAATTCTCAGGTTTTCCAGCTGTGCTGAACAGTTAGCACACATATCTAACTATTCAGAAAAATTTCATGGCCAAGTCCTCAGAATGGCTTTGAAAAATTACTATGTGATTTTATGTTCTACATTTTATTGTCCTGTCTTTATTTCCAGGTACAAGACTAAAAAAACCCTGAATTTTGGAGCTATTCAGCAGGAGGTCATGCAGAATGAGAAGTCAGTTCTGCAGCTAAAACATAGATAGACTTATCCCTTCCTCTCCCCATCTTTTCTTTTTTTTTAATAAATGTATATATTCTACATGGGTGCAATTTTATTTCTTTGAAGTATATGGAATATTTCTTCCTTTAAAAATAAATAATGAAACAAACATATTTACAGGGAAAATAAAACCAATTTCACACTCAACACTAGGAACAAGACAACATTCACAAGTCTATACATATTTCTGATAGTTATGAATAAAAATTTACTCTTAAGTAAAATATTATTTACAATGCAGGCAATTCTTATTATAGCTTCACATCACCCTAAGTTTGATGAATTGTGTTATAAAGCTAGTCTTAATTTTGCAATGGTATGTCACAGAACAACCAGCACTAGGTCTGGTTATGCTAACAACAATACTTGGGTTCCAATTAGTTTTACTTTATCTTTGATAACATGCACACCCAACTTATTTAGGGGAAAAAAATAAAAGAAAAAAGAAAAGTTTTGAAAAAAAAGAAAAACATTTATTTTCCTTCACAGGAAATAATGGCTGCATTCTAATATGTACTCCACTAAATGATTTAACTTACTTTGATAATGTTTGATCATATCATTGATATTAGGAAAAGTTATTCTTGGAGAGATGTAAAACCCTCCATTGTCTAGGCTCCTGATTTTGTAGTGCTTGATAACATCGCCATGCTCCGGATCATAGTCCCGTATGGAGAGAGAATAGCTGCCTGTGGATAAAGAAGGAACCCTCATTAACACACAGCAAAAATCCACAGAGTCCACACATGCATGTCAAGCCTAAGAAAATCACCAATTTGTCTGCTTTTCTTTTTGCTCCCTTATTTCCTCAAAAAGCATTTTGCAATCCACATGAGGAAGTTAGCAAAAACCAGCCCTGAACTGGTCACCAAAATGCTTACGGTCACACTTTCTTTTTCAATCTTATTCAACAAACTCACTGGTTCCATATTCCAGGCAGCTCCACGGTCAGTACCCAGCTTTGCAGAAAGTCCCCCAGCTCGAGTAGAGGTGGCTGGGAAAGCAGGACTGTGGCTCTCACCCTGCTCAGGCAGAAGCTGAAATCTGGAGATCAGCATTTTGAAAAAGGAACATGCTGGTTGTCACGGACCAGCTAGCAAAAGGATAGTTTGGAGATGGCTTCAGGCATAGAGGAGGAAGAGCAGATCTGTTGATCTGCTAGATCTGTCCAGCCCTAGGCAGCCTCTCCTGCCCCGATTTAAATCCATCTGGGATTTAAATCGGGGCAGGAGAGCATCTACCTTTAGCTACAGCACTCTTTGTTTCTTCTACTTGTACAATTCTTGCCCATTTTCACAGGATAAAAAAGATCTCTCCCCTTATCTCTCCTCACACACATAACCAGTGATTCTGTGGGGTACCTTCCCATACTCTCAGTACCCTATGAAGAATTTAGGAAACTTCCTTTGAGAACTTCATTTAGGAGTCTTCAGCTGAGAGGACAATGATATGGGCCCATTTCAGAAGATACCTAGTCAAGAATTTGCAGTATTAGGGCCAAAAAAGCTACCCTGTGGAGTGGAGAGGCATGACCTGCTGAAAGGCTCCATGTGTCTTCTTCTGCAGGATGCAGTGTTACAGCATCCAGCTGGAATATCCATCCAGACTTACAGCCAGAGTCCACAGGCTGGGGCTTCTCAAAGCTGAAGAGCCTGGAGACTTCACAAAGCTTTTCAGCACAAAGCACTCTGTTTACAGCACAAAATTTTACCAAAAATCTTTCTGAAAAGAATCCCACTACACTGTAGAAGTGAAAACCGTCATTATGCATTAACTACAACTTTAAACTTGTAGCAATGGATACAGACCCAATAATGGAAGACTGTAGAATGGAGCAGCTACTATTACAGTAATATGTCTTTCAATAAAGGAGTCACAAACATTAAGATACCACTTCATTCATTCCTGCCTCTTGTCAGTGTAATCACACATGTAATGCTTTTTTTTTCCCTTTTATCTCAGCTTTGGGTGTTAGCCCGCAACTCTCTTCTCTCTTTTTCTGGTAATTTTCTCATTCTTCTCACTCCTATAGAACTGCAGAAAATTCACACAATAGGATGCACTAAAACTACTCCACACCCGATGCCAATTTTTGTGTAGACTGACTGCATGTTTTTTATTTCCTTCTCAATTCCAAAGTACCATCCCAAAACCTACCTTTTAATGTTTCACTTTCTCTGATAAGGAAAGCTCCAGGACCATTTCCAGGAGCCAGGAGCTGTCTTTCAGCATCTTTTCGGGTTATGTCTTTGAAGAACCATCTGAAAAGTATTTCAAAGAGTTAGAACAAACTCTTTCCCCCACCCAAAAAGGATACACCACCAAGGTGAAGAAGTTTGCCAGAATTTGGAGACTGGGAGAACTTACTCTTCTGTTTCCAGGGTGTTTACTTTTGCTACATAGTTGCTGGGAATGAAACCTTCTTTTCTTGTCGTGAGAGATTTTGCTCTCCACCATTCTCCAGATCTGAAAACCAAAAACAGTAGTACTCACAGGAAACGAAAATGATGAATTGTTATTTAGGTTCTACTCTGCTGAGAGCTTTGCCCAGGCTGGAGAGAGAAGCACAACCTTTCCTCTGAGGTCAAGGGCCCTGAGAAGCCACTGGCTCCACCAGATCAATGTTTGGTCACTGTTACTGAGGCCAGCTGCCAACCAGAGAACAGAAGACTCAAAAATGGTTTGGGTTAGAAGGGACCTAAAAGATCATCCCTGTCATGAGCAGGAACACCTTCCACTGCAGCAGGTTGGGCAAAGTCCTATCCAACCTAGAACAACTCCTTAAAGCATTTGTACTATCACATGTAAGAGAGCTCACTTATTGTTCCTACACCCATGGTACAAGTAGGATATTAAAACTCTGTAGAGGGAATTAGATGAGCCCAAAGAAAACATGCAATACAATCAATATTGCCATACTTACTCTTCTATAACTTTCAGTTTTTCTCCTTTTTTGAAGGACAAGTCCTCTTCATGAATGCCATCATAGGGATACAAAGCTACCACAATGACTCCCTGCTCCTCTGCATCTACAAAAGCAGAAAGACAAAGGCACGTTCACATCACTTTGCAGGCTGACATGGGCACAGCACACAGCTGTGAGATTTCTACAGAAACATACCTGGACTGACAAACCTCTGTCCTGGTAAGAGCTGTGCTTCTGGATTTGCCTACAATAAAATATGTCTTTAATTAAGCAGTTTTAGATCTTTGTGATGATCTTAAATTACAATTACATATTATACAGTTGCTTTGGTATCATCTCGTATGTCTTAAAAGTAAATACTCAGATTTTTTTTCCCACCATTCTTCAAAATATGTATTATATATAAATACCATACATTATTTATAAGACAATATAAAAATATAGTCAGTCCCCCTAGATTTTAAATTGAGCAGCTCAGACCTTGTGAAGGTGTGGCACAAGCTGTGGGGAAGAAGTTCACAGCTTTGGGACTTCTGCTGAAGAGGCTTTAGGCAGGGCACTTAAGCAGGACAGCTATTACTGTGTAGCTGTCATGTTAAAGAACTACAAGCACGGTTATGCCACTAAGACTGTACATGGGGAAAAAAAAAAAGAACAATTTAAAAAAAAAAGGTAGTTTGTGATGTGTGTCCATGGACTGAGAGCACACTGAGTTCACTGTGTCAGCTGGGGAGAGAGGAGAGCAGGGAGCCATTCACACCTGCAGGGAGCAGGTCCCTGAACAGGGGCAGTCAGGACACAGTTCCCTCAGCACAGTAGAGAAGCTGGGGAAAAAAAGGTCCCAGTCAGGCTGCAAATTAGCAAACCCACTTGGTACCCAGCAGAATTCCCTACCCCAGCACTCTTCCTTCCAGTGCCAGGCAGCACACTGGAACACGTTAGCTGGTTCCTCCTGCAGCACAGCGCTGCTCCCTGCACCGCTGCACCCTCCCAGCCTCACCCACACACCTCAGGCAAGGCTGAGTCGTGGCCCTCAGTGAGGAAAGCTGACTAGAGCTGGTAAAAAATCACCCATTATTACTTCAGCCTATAAATGGAATAACAAACACCTGGATCCCATAGCTATTAAAAACCCAACACCAATGCTTTAAAAAATGGATCTAAACTACTTCAGGTTTTCTAATGTCATCTAGCCTTCTTCTACAAACATAGTTACATCTACTCAAGCATTGCTAAGTTACTTTTTTTATGCAGAAAACTATGACAAACATAAAGTAGCAAACCACCGTGTTTTAATTTTTATTCCTCTAGGTACTTATTCATTGAGGGTGAACTGCACACAGTTTGAGTTTTTTCCATGCATATGCTTTGGATTGAAATTTAAGTTACGCCAGTCATGCTTTGTTCTTGCTACAGGAATTCTCTCCTGGGACTATCTACTTACTGGCCTTTGCTGTTTATTGGACGTTGGATCCCTCACATAAATAGTTCGTTCAGTTTTACGTACTGGTTGGTTCTTCAAATCTAGCCCATCTCCATGCAGATTGTCTTTCCTTTTTGATTTTATACACCCCATATTTCCTGTTGAAATAAAAAAGGTGTTAAACAAAATCATTGTGCCATAAACCAAGCCCTTTCCCATGAAATCATCTGAGCTGCATAGTAAAAATGTTCTTCCTTCTCATATAAAATAGTTCATGGGAAAAAAATAACTGAAGGTTAGGCCCACACACTCATAGCTCTTTTCTGTTCCAAAGGAAAGAAATTACCCTGTCTCAATCCACAGAAGAAGTAAACAGTTATTTACCATTTCTTCAGATTTTCTATAATTCCTCCCCAGTCTACTTTTCCCTGCCCAAACTCCTTGCATCTTTCCGATACTTCTCTGAGCTTTGGAATAGATATAATAAAAATGCAATTATTGCAGGGATAATTTTTATCTGTATATTTTAAAGAAAAAAATTCCTGTCCAAATTCTGAGAACTGCAGCAGGAAGTAGCAAAGCCTGTATCTCCCCACTTCATTCTGCAGATGCCAGTCTAGCAGGGAGCTCTGTTTGATTCAAATCCCTGTCTCACATGAGGCTGATGACTTGTGCAGTCCCAGCTCCATGGCAGACACACTGCTACTGTGTCCTTCAGCAATGCACCTCCTTGTTCACACAGGCACGTTACAGCAACCTAAAATAGACAACGTGTGTGCCAGCAATGGCAAATCAGCACACCAGGATTTCTTCTTCAGTATCACTTAGATTCTTCTCTCAGGATGTGCATCCATGCTAAGTCAGATGAAATGCAGCTGTTAGCATCTGCATGACTGGAACCTGACTGCTAATCCCATGATACAATTACATAGTACTCCAGCAAATATATATATACAACATTATCTCTACAATCCTCCCTCTGAGGAGAGTAATTATACTTACTCTTCAAAGAATCCACTATGAATGCTTTTCAACCCTCTTCTTCTCTCCTCTCTCCCTCCTTTCAGGTCAGTGCTCTAATGCTAGGTTCACAGTCACATTTTCCCTTGCAGGCACACAGTCTCACTCCCCCCTGCCCTAATTAATGTTTAAAGCCAGTTCTTTGAAGAACAATGCAAAGCCTAAAATAAGAGCTCGGTGCAAATATAGGCTCAAGTAAACAAACACAGCTGGAGAAGCTAAAGCTGATTGCAAGACTCTCATCCCACTTTTACCTTCATCTCTAGGATAGAAAAGGTTCATGGCAGTGAACAGGTAAAGCAGTAGCAGAAGTGTCCATTGGCAGACACAACTGTACCAATGGTTTGGAGCCTTGCAGCTGCAAAAATTAACCAGACTGGACTGGGTTCATGTTAAAGACTCATACTTTTGTAACAATACCTATGATAATCACAATCCTAACTGATTACAAAAATAAACCAAGGCAACAAGCAGTCTCACATGGCAAGTCTCAACTTCCAACATCACCTTCATTTAATGTCCCATCCTGCCACTGAGGAAGCACTACATAATGACTCAATGCACTGTCCTATCCACAGTTAGAGTGTTTTCTTCTAAATGTGACAGAGGGATACTTCCTCTCCTACCATTTCTGTAAATTATCTGTCACCTATTGCCAACATGTCTTGGATGTCCATAAGATTCAGCAGTGATCTGTGATCCTGGTTTAAAGGAGCATTAAAGCCCATTGCTCCCCTTCTTGTCTTCTCTGGAAGACAAGAAAATAAAAGAAACCCTACAGAAAATCAATAGGCACTGACCAGGCAGAGAATAAAAATTTCCTCTTCTTGACTGTCAACATTTCAGTGTTCCCACATTTATTTGACAGCACTGGAGCATATCTTCATGCAGGAGCTTCCCTTAGAAGCAAACATCTTTAATGCTAAATTTTAATGCTTTAATTTTTGTGATGCTCAGCTATAAGTGGGTTGCATACTAGTTGTTTTGCAATATTGAGAAGGATTTTAAAATTTATTTTATTTATTTATAACTGTAGGTATGTAGATGACTCTTGTTCTGTCATTCATGGTTCATAGGAAATTTCTGTACACCCACAGGCAGACTGATGTTTGCAAACTCACCCTAGACATCAGGAAGGCCAGTGTTTAATTACCTGCTGTATCTGCAAGATCAGGTATTTATCCACTTAAGTGCTAACCTTTCTGCTCTTGAATAGTTCTGCTTGTACAGAACAAACAGCTGAAGTGGAGGGCATGAAGTAATTTGATCTAAGTTGTCAGCCAAAACTCCCTTTCCCTATTCCTGTAAGAAAGCTGAGCACATCTTTAGAGACTGCAGCATGCCCAGTGTCAGTGTAAACTCAGAGAAAAGCATTTTTTATTCAGATGTTTTTCTCCAGCTGAAAGCACATGAACAGCTGTAAGTTAAATCTGCTGTGAGGCTGTGTTAAGGTCAAGGTTGGCATTTGTTCATGACAGTAAGAACTGATCAGCAATAACTATTAGAGGTGCTTTGAAATCACACAGAAGTTTACTTGATGCCAAGTGAAATCACACAAATCAGTTTGTGAGATGACCCTTGTGATGGCTTCAAACAAAGAGAAGATCCCGAGCCTCATCATGAAGCACTGTTTTTTCTGGGTTCTTTTCCTCATGGAGGAGAAAGTCCACATTCCCCACAGGATTCACCTGGTTCTACATGAGCAAAAAGCCCCAACAGTGGGTGCTGAAGCCCACAGCTGGTCCAAGGGGGTTACTGCCCCTTTCACTCCAGTACAGCCCCAAGGATTGAACATCTAGGAGGAGCCAGCTAACAACAAGGGTTTACCTAAATCTGAGCCCCACGCTGCATTCTCCCAAAGCAGCCCCATTCTTGCACTTCAGTTCTGCTCCAGAACACAGATTACAGCTGAGCATGTGGGCAACTGCTTCAGGAGTAGCATCCTGACCTAACTAAAACAGCAGTGCAGGGAGGAGAGTATAAATAAATAAAACATTTTACTTGCTGTAAATGTTTATTTGCCTGGTGCTCTGTTGATGTGTCACAAGGAAGTGTTTTGTGCAGATAAAAAGAGAAAGAGAAAACAGTAAGCAAAGAGCAATACAGAGAGCCAAGCATCATTACAAACCAAACTCCATTGTTCTTTATCAGATATAAAAATAATTTATGCATCAGAGAAAATGCTGCCAGTCCCTACTCAGATGTTTTCCATTCCAACAGCTCTGCAATACAGGAGACACTATTTCCTATTCATGCTTTGCATTCATTGTCCTGTCCACACCTCTAGACATGAAAGATTAACACTGAATTAAAAGAAATACTATTTTACATAGCTGCTAATTTTTATAAACAGATATCTAAAAAAGTAACACCTTCTCTTTTAACAAAGAGCATACTGTAGTTTATGGCTAGAAAGTAAACACAAGTACTTAGGTTAACAGCTGCAGCAAGGTGACAAGAATGTAGGTTCAGGCAGCCTTCAAACAGCCACAGGAGTATCCACAAGAGCTATCACACAGAGCCTCTGCAGCAGGTTTTTCCAAGACACTGATTTTGATGTCTACATTTGCCTTGAATTTTCTCTCTGAATCCCCTATCTCATCTTGGGTCTACAGCACTTGGGTCTTCATTCCAAAAGGGTTTGGGAAGAGTGGAAGTCAGAAACTAATGCAGCATTCTTCCAGAGTTAATATCTGCTGTCTTTCCCCAAAATAGAATTCCTTTATCTGCCCTTTTCTACACTTCCAGCAAAGCAATGTGTCTAAAGACACAATACTTCCTACTGCAGGCAGCCAAGTTTCATGTGACCATCACCTGTCCATACCCCATCAGCAGCATTTGGGGTTTCATCTCATCCCAGTGCTTACCCTTTGTATCATCTACAAAGGTGATCTCACTTTTCATTTTGTGTTCATAGCCATTCTCTTCCTTGTGATTTTTTTGTTACATGCAACGTATATGGTGCATATTAGAAGATGTTTCCTAAAAAGCCCACTTGACATGTCTCGTCTTTTCTGATCAAAGTCATGTCTTCACGGAAATGATTCTCAAATCTTCATAGATTTTACTTCAGCTTTTCCAATAATAAATTAACTTTTAAAATAATTAGAACTACAACAATGAGCATACAAGCTCTATTTTATCAAAGTATGTATTTTATCCAATAAATATCTGTTGTTGAAAAGGTCAGCAATCACTTACCAAAACACCTATGTTAAGGTTTTAACAGATATATACATATGCATTTTAACAGGTACATAAATAAAATAAATTTGTATTCAACTGAGTGCAAAAAGTAAACTCTTCATTTAAACCACAAATTTTTCATTATTAAGGGAAAAAAATTTAAACCCCCAACTTACTCTGAGTCTTGAATATTGCTTTATATTTAAACTTCTGAATCAAAGAACAGGAAGCAACTGTTTACATCTATAAATAAAATCCAAACTGGTTACACACCTGGAGCTTTAAAGGGGGCTTAGAGAGCAGAGAAATAAATAGTTTTATTTTTAATACCTCTTCCAAAATTTGAAAACAATACCATTGCCCTCTTCTGTTTTAGATGCTTCATTTGGCCTTGAATGCCAGTTGGTTTGCTGCTACTTCACAAGTTATAGTTGGGGTAACACAGTGATGCCTTCATCAGATCTGAACTCCTGTGCATTTCCCTCAAGGTCAAGGCAGAAGTGTCTCAAAGCTCAGAGTGATCGATTTAGATTAAAACTGCTGGGGAGGAAGGACTGTAAGCCTGCTCTGCTCAAAGACACAAACACCTGCTGTCTCAGAAGCTCATCCAACATTCTATGTCACTTCAACTAACTGCTCAAAGTTATAATTTCATGAAAAAAATTTAAAAATCTTAAACATAAGAACTTCATTTACCTTAATCTTCAGTGCTTACTTTCACTTTATGCTGATCTGCCTCCACATCATCTGTGCTACCCAAGTGTTGCAAGGATCTCCTTTATCTCTGTTATTGGGACTATGAGGACTGTTTCTGGGAAACCTGGGTTCATTTCTGACCCATCATTACATGGCAAAGCAATTGCCAAGGAATAGAGAGCAGGAGTTTAACTAGAGGTGGCAAAGCTCAGCAATGGCTTATCAGTACTGGTCTACACATATTTGTGCAAGTGAA